ACACCAAATACACAAAATAATGTTCTTTTTAGCAACAACATATGAACCCTTTAAAGTATTAGATCATGTCCAGAATAAAAATCTCCTGATGATTTACTCGCCCCCATGTCATCCAAGATGTTCATGTCTTTCTGTCATCAGTCGAGAAAAGAAATTAACTGTTCAGACCGACAGTGATAGAAGCTCCTGAACATCACTCATTATCAGTGAGCGTCTGGCGACTGTTGAGTGAGTGATTTAGTGCGAAATACAGCGTCTTCCATGACTGAGGTCTCAGGAGCAGCTAGTCATTAAAACGGCTGCTCATTTATCAGCTGCTCGTTAAAACAGTTTCATGTGTTTCTTTATAGGATCGTGTGGAACTCGCGCCCCTCATATGAGGCCCATGTACCCGTCCAAAACATTCCCGAACCTCTACACGCTGGCCACGGTACCAAACACACTTCACAGCACAGCAGACAGATTCACTCAGCGCACTCAGATATAACTGAGAGATCACTGCTCTAATCATGAATCCGATCATCTGAAGCACAACATGTCAAATTCCTGCATGCTACGGACTGTATCTGGAGAGTTAACGTTGAAATGAAGGCTTTTAATGTATTTTTGCACAAGATGAATATGTAAATTATGTTATGTTGAGAAGAAATGTAAGATTATTTAAACTAGACTATTGATATATAACATGATAACTTGCCTAAACAAAATTGAGCCTTTTTATGAACATTGGGATTTCAAATTCTGACAGTTCAAAATGAAATACAAATATTTTAAGTATCACAGTATTTTTTAGTTGTACTGCAGTACTGAGAAACTAATGAAATTCACATAATTTCTAATCTTTTTGTTAATTTTTTACTCTATTTTACTATTTGTGTACCATTTATAGCGTGACTGTTATTCAATTATATATATATATATATACTGTATATATATATTAGTGGGCTCAAACCAAATACATTCATCATACAGTACACTGTAAAAAAAATTTTTATTTTTAACCTTACAAACGTTTGAGTATGCTTTAAAAGAAAAGAAAATACAAGCAAAAAAAGCTGTTAAATATCCGCACCAAATATGTTTGTAAATAGAATACTTTGATGCATACGCTTAAAAAAAATTACAACAAAAAAAATCTTATGAAATGCTTTTGTTTAGAGGCCAATTTTGATGTATGGAAATTTTCTACGATTATGTGTGCGAGCATCTCGTCTTGCTGGACTTTCAGTTTTTCTACTCCAAAATTTCACATTTAATTTAATGTGTTACTTGCCACTTCTTTGTGAAATATAATAGTGGTTTCTGAGTGAAAATAGTTTTTACACCTGATTCTTGTATGTGAGCACTCGATTTGCTCTTATGATGTGATTTAACTGAACTGGTTGGTGTTTTCTGGTGTTCCTCCTCAGGGTTTGTATCCCGAGTCTCACGGGATCGTGTGTAACTCCATGTATGATCCCATGTTCAAAGCTCATTTCAGACTGAAAGGACAAGAGAAGCTCACTCACCGCTGGTGGGGCGGGCAGCCCGTGAGTCATGACTCCGCCCACACATGGCCCTCAGCCAATCACAGACGAGACGCTTTACATAAGCTTTATAATGTCGTACGGCATAAATGTGATTCTGTACTTGTGGTCCAGATTCTGTACAGGTTTTACATGGGAACACTAAACTAATCATCAAGCTCCGTTTGGGTTTGGATGGAAAGTCTAGTTTGAAGTGGGTTCGTGTTTAATAATTTAGACCGTTTTTGTCTGTTTGTTGTCTCAGGTTTGGATCACAGCAGAGAAGCAGGGCGTGAAAGCTGGGACGTTCTTCTGGCCCCGGTGAGCAGAGATGTCAGTCCAAATGTGCTGAATGTCCCAAATAAAGCGCTCGCAATCACACTTAGCAGGATTATTCATTTATCTGCTTCGTTTGATTGGTTTCAGATCTTAAATGTTTATGTTCTACTGCTGTTTCTCAGCAGAGTGGAGGTTTTCTTCTAAAATCAGCATTCAGTGTTTGGAGCAAAGCTCAGAGTGTCACGCCGAGAGACTCATGACACAAACAACACATGATTCAAACAAAGACCTTTCTCACACACACACTGGTCATTCAGAGCGGCTCAGACTGTCCCGATGTTCATGTTCTTCCCTGAAGAGCTTCATTCGCATGAGTTGTGAGGACGTGACCAGTGGCCCGTGAAGAAGAGCTCTGACGTCTGTGTGACATTGTTTGTGAGGGGCTGAATGAACCCGTCTGTCTGTCTCTCTGTCTGTAGGGTGATTCCTCTGGAGCGGAGGATCCTCACTACCCTGCAGTGGCTGCAGCTGCCTGATGACGAGAGGTGCGTCATGTGACTACTAATGGGAAAACAAAACATTCTTATGAGGGACAGTTAAGCCCTGCGTATTCATTACTGGAATGCAACCTTCACTTCAAGAATGATAACTATAGTCATAACGATTACTATAGTGATTATTATAACGATAGCTATAGTGAAAACTGTAACGATTACTATAGTGATTACTATAACGATAGCTATAGTGAAAACTGTAACGATTACTATAGTGATTACTATAATGATAACTATAGTGAAAACTTTAACGATTACTATAGTGATTACTATAATGATAACT